CTGCAGCAAAGCAATACATTGAGAAACATTACAGAGAGCAGATGAAAAATTTGCAGGAGAGAAAGGAGCGGTACGACGTACATGCTAGTTTCTTTATTTCCTTGTTACTAGACTTAGTTCCTTCATAGACAAAGAGGTTCAATCAGTATGCTGAACTATGATTTCAGTAGTAGTACTAATGCTTTCCATACTTAATCCTGCAAGCATTTGAGCTGATTAAAAATTCAAAGGAGAACATTTAAAACGACATTTGGCCCATTTTGTATGCCCAATAGAGGCAGGAGAGAAGGGAACGGTACGACGTAGATGCTAGTTTCGTTATTTCCTTGTGACTTTCCTTGTTGCTAGACCTACTAGTTCTTCGTGCAACATTACTTTGTTCCTTGGTTTCATTAGAGACATGTTCCTCCATAGATGGAGTTCAATCGGTATGATGAATTCAGTGGCGGAGCCACATGGCTCCAAGGGGTGTCAGTTGACACCCTTTCGCTGGAAAAGTACATTGTTTTGATATGTTATTTCTTTTAATGTATATATAGTATGTGCTGAATCCCCTTTACTTCTTCGTGTGTTTGCTTCTTTAAATTCTGATACCCCTTAGTAAAAATCCTCTTACTTGTGGTTGGTGAGAGGCTGGAATACTTTCTATTGGCTTAAGCCGTACCTTCGGCATCCCTGTAAAATCATTTTTTGCTTCAGATTTCACCCTTCTTTTTTTTCTTTGTGATGATAATTATTTAACAATGCTAGTAAAGTATTGAACATAATTTCTCGTCTCTATACAGTGTTGTGTGAAACCAATGAAAACAACATATGGAGAAAATGTAGTTCCATATTAACCTGAGCTCGTTGTTTTAAAAGTTCTTATTAAACGATAATCATCACATTTCCTTTTGGCTCTTTCTTATTTTACTGTTTTTTCTTTGTTTAAGAATAATAGCTTGATATTTCTGAACTTTTCTGGCATCTATAATGCTTTAAATTCTATTCATTTCCTTTTTCTCTTTTATCTTGCAGGCGAATTTTACTAGAAAAGAAGTTGGCAGATGCCGATGTCTCTGAGGAAGATCAAAATAACCTACTGAAATTTTTAGAAAAGAAGGAAACTGAATACATGCGACTCCAAAGGCATAAAATGGGAGCTGATGATTTTGAGTTATTAACGATGATTGGAAAGGGTGCTTTTGGAGAGGTAATGTTTCTATCAAAAACAACTATGTTCCTCTTCATTTATTCTACTGGTGCAATTTTCTGTTCTCCACAGCCTTTCTTTTTGCCTTTACTCTGTATTTGGAAGTTAAAATTTCTTATATAAATAGTATAATTTACGGTTCCTTATTTCTCAATACTGTGAGAAAATATAAATGATGAATTGCATTTTATTGCTCCTCGGTGGTGAATCGTGTGAATATTTTATGGCATCAGTATCCAGAAATTAGTTTGTAACTGATATTTTATGACAATGTAATCTATATTTGTGGTTTATGGTATTAATTTCCTGAAGTTATCTCTATCGCTTGAGGTATATTTGTGGTTTGTAGTATTAGTATTCATAGGTTAACTATGCTGTTAATTTCATAATTTTTATTGGTACTTAAAGCTAGTTCTTTGTCGAAAAAAAGCCAATCGCATGATTGGTTTCTCTGTTATTACAGGTCAGAATTTGTAAGGAGAAAACAACTGGTCAGGTATATGCAATGAAGAAGCTTAAGAAATCAGAAATGCTTCGTAGAGGACAGGTATATATGATTATGGTCATCAAAATGCCACAATTGATTCGGCAATTATATTTTTACTGGTCCTTAGCTTTTCGTATTTTAGGTCGAGCATGTGAAAGCTGAAAGAAATCTTCTTGCGGAGGTTGACAGTGATTGCATCGTCAAACTGTATTATTCTTTCCAAGATGACGACTATCTGTATCTTGTTATGGAATATCTACCTGGTGGAGATATGATGACACTGCTCATGAGGAAGGATATATTAACCGAAGACGAAGCTAGATTTTACGTTGCCGAGACTGTTTTGGCAATTGAATCTATCCATAAACATAACTACATACATAGGTTGTGA